TAGCATGGCAATTCTACTGGTTAACTTGCTTCCCACATCACAGACTATTGGAAGTGTGATCCTGAATACTTCATGAATGTACTGTCTTTGTTTTGGACATTTTCAAGGTCTACCATTGGGTCTATCATAAAGGATTTCTTTACAGGTTAGTATCACAGTAGATTTGCATCATATTTAATTTGTCCTGAATCTCTACATATACTATGGTCGAGCACTCCTCTGATCTGTGTCTGCAAATTGAGGGTACCCAAGACTATATTCTCTCTCTTATCCTATCCCTTTTAAATAATGATTCCTCAATCCACATACAATTATATCCAGTATAATTCCACTTTACCTTCATTACCTGCTTCATTAACTGCTTTAAGATTTTATGCTCTCCATTAATCAATGTAATTAATGATTTTTTAAATTCCTCATCACTCCTATGCACTACATGCAACAATTAAATGCTAATTTTGGGCAGCACGGTGGCACAGTAGTTAGCACTGCTGCCTCACAGTGCCAGGGACCAAGGTTTGATTCCAGCCTTGGGTGACTATGCACGGATGCTGTGATTGGTTCACTCGCCGAGCTGGTTCATTAGTTTGCAGATGTTTCATTACCTTGCTGGGTAACATCATCAGTGCAGCCTCCGGTGAAGTGCTGTTGTGCTTTCCCGTCTGGTATTTAAACTCCAGGGGCTGTTGGAGTTGGTTACCTCATTTCTGGTTTTTTTTCAGTGGTGTACATATAGGGTCTAATTCTACATGTTTATTGATGGCCTCCTTAGTTTGGATGGAGTTTGCGCTTTGTTTCCACAGGCGGATGCTACGGTTTCCTCCCACAGTCCAAAGATGTGCAGGTTAGGTGGATTGGCCATGCTAAGTTGCCCCATAGTGTCCAGGGATATGTAGGCTTGGCCATTGTACATGCAGGATTATGGGGATGGGGAGTTGAGTCTGAGTGGGACACTCTTCAGAGGGTCGGTGCAGACTTGATAGCCTCTATCCGCACTGTATGGTTTTTCAGTATCTCAAAGGCAGTTCCACCAAGTTTCCAAAAAGTCTAGTTTCTTAGCTTTATTAGCTATGCATTTCTCCCCCAAGCACAAAAACATCAATTCCTGATCCTTCCAACTGAAAGCAAGCTAATGCTCTTCAATGTTTATGCTGTCTGATTGTAAGTCTCTCCCAATGCAAACAAATTTAAATTAACATCCCACGAACTTGCTCTCTCATACCAGTTTTTGTTTTGAAAGAGAGCATGGCTCTAGAAATAGTGACGAGTTAGTCATAAATTATTAAACTGCCTCACAATCTCAGACCAAAAATATTTTCTCATTTTGTCCTTCAGTCAGTAATGTCATTAAATTAATGTCACAAAAAGGACCAGAATGATTGAAGAGGAAAGAGATAATTTAGAACTAAGAGCTCGCTAAGTTTCAGATGACAGTTCTTTACAATGTGAAATGCTACTACTTCAATATCTAAATAAAATAAATGACAATAAAATATATACAAATCACACAGCTTACATGACACAGGATACATTCAGAGTTTCTGTGGAAATTGGAAGAAATGACAGAAGAGTTCTTTGGTGAGTGGATGTGTTGCAGAGGACCGAAGAGCAACTGAGCCCATTTCAACAGGGCAAGACATTAACTTGGTTAATTACAGATAAGTTAACCTAATGAAGACAGGAAAAAGAAGGCAACAAGAAGAGTACAATACTGGCTCATGAGGGAACTGTTGCCTTGATGAAAAATAAATATGCGGAAAAGCTTGAAATATTGGGGCTGCTTTCATCAGAACAGAGAGACCATAGTGGTTTGATGGAGATATTTAAAATTCTGATAAAATCAAACAGCGAAGGGTTGACAGTCCTTCAAGAAAGCTATCAGTCACCCTGAACTGATCTGAAGTAGTTCCAGTCCCATACAACATGACTGATACGTAATCTTCTCAGCAACCACAGACAGTCAAGAAATTGCAGCCTTGCTGGCAACATCCACATCCCAAGAACCAATATAAAATGAAATAGATAAAACTACACTGCAAATCTGGGATAGTAGAAACTGCAGATGCTGGAGTCAGAGATAACACAGTGTGGAGCTGGAGGAACACAGCAGGCCAGAATCTTCAGAAATTTCTGAAGAAGTATCCCGACCCGAAACGTCAACTTTCCTGCTCCTCTGATGCTGCCTGGCCTGCTGTGTTCCTCCAGCTCCACACTGGGAATCTGGAATGAGAAATCATAGATACAGGATTAAATGCAGAGATATCGAAAAGGGCCACAGATATTTTTCTTTTGTATTCTAAGTTTATGAAATGTACCAGAGTTCGCATTTAAAGTAGAAACTGTGTTGACTTAAAGGATTAGGTTCGGTATACTTTTGGAGGAAAGTGAGGATAATAAAAGGCTATGGGAATGGAACAATCAAATGGGATTAGGCGTACTCATGTGAGAGATTGGCACATGGCTAAAATGTCTTTATCAGTATCATATTTTCTACCTAATGCAACAAAAGGAGTTTGTCTTTAAATAGTACATAAAGGCAGTAAAACACACTAAGATACACAGCAATATTATTAAATAAAATTGGATAATCAGTCATATAAAGAAATTTAAGAACAGATGAAGAGTAGGTTTTCAAGAGTATCTTACAGTATTCAATAGAGGGAGAGAGAAGGAAAAGTTTTTTTCTCCTTACATGGAATATAGGCATTGCTGGCATTTGTTACCCATCCCTAATTGTGTGGCTTGCTACACCATTTCAAAGGGCACTTAGGAGTCAACCACATTACTGTGGGTCAGGAACTACATCTAGGCCAGACCAGGTAAGGACCCAGATTTCCTACCATTCGCAGGAGGTCGCTCGTGAACCAGATTAGTTCCATGACAATTAACAATGGTTACATGGTTACCATGAGATCATAAGACCATAAGAAATACGTTCAGAAGTAGGCCATTTGGCACCTCAAACCTGCTCTGCAACGCAATAAGCTCGTGGTTGATTCAACGTTTCTTATATCCACTTTCCTGTCCTTAACCCAGAACCATCGATTGTCCTACTGATCAAGAAGCAATGTGCCAGAGTCTAGGGCCTGGGCAACTGAAAGCATGGGCCACCAGTGGTGAAGCAGTTAAAATCAGGGATGTGCAGGAGATCTTAAGAAGGTTGTTAGAAGTTATAAGAATGGAAAAGAAAGATATGCATCTGTACGGCATCTTTAGTGGGACGTTTCAAAGCATTTGACAGACAATTAAGTACTTTTTTGAAACGTAGTCATGTTTGTAACGTAGGAAACATGACAGTCAATATACACTCAAACTCCCACAAACACCAATTTGATAATCACCAGATAACCTGCTTTTCATTAATTTGACGGAGATAAATATTAACCAGGACAACAGAGAAAACTCTCCTGCATGTCTTTGAAATAGGTTCATGGGATCTTTCACATTCACCAAAGCAGCAAACGGGGGATTCGGTTTAACATCTCATCTGAAAGTAAGCATCTCCGACAGTGCAATGCTCCTTCAGTATTGCACTGGATTGTCAGCATAGATTTTCACGTTCAAGCACTGGAATGGCACCTGAGCCCAGAACATTGTGATTCAGAGGTGAGTGCACTGCCAGATAAGCCACAGCTGACAAATAAGAATGGGGGTGAGTGTTATAATGATAATTAAAAACAAGGATTAGAGTTGTAAAATTAAATGTTTCTGGATCAGGATGTGTGAACATGAGACACTGTTAAGAAATAAGCCCAGATTTTTGGTGAGGGTAGAACATGAGATGTTAGCTGGGTGACAATTGGAATAAACAACTGTAGAGGTAACAAAGCGAAGGATGAACATCCAAACAATAGATTAACTGACGCAGGGGTAGAGATAGGTTATGTTAAAAAGGTGAAAGTATGTAGTCTTGTTGATGAAACATATACGTAGTCAGAAACTTATCTTGGGGTTTAAAATATAACACGAAGGTTGTTAATGATAAGATACTTGCTATCAAGAGAGATGGAGTTGGTAGAAGATTCCAATGGTAATGGTATTGGATATTGGAAAAGCACTGTGTCAAATTAAACAGAGTGAAGGGATCAGGAGAGGCAGTGCTGGGTATTGTCAATATTTATATGAAATCTAAATTATGTTTTCAGATGAAGCCATCAAGTTGCAGCACATAGATGAAAAACTGGAAGATAACCAAGGGTATATGCCTGACGGACTGCAGAGATAACGGATGGGAACGATAGGAAGTTATTGCTCTGGAATTTTATCGTTCCCTAAGAGAGCAAAATGTGCTGTATTACACATGATGAAATCAAGGCAAATGCTGTAGCTTCCTACTCTAAGTTATTCTTTCCAACTACTCCACTTTAAGACTATAAGACACCTTGTTCACTCCTGTTCTGCAAATGTCAGATTTTTAAAGACAAAATTATGGTGCACAGGACTACATTCACTTCAGATGTCCACTAGTACAAGTGGCCAAATAGGTTAGGCTAAACTGTAAGTGTCAGTTAGGTTTTCCTCAAATTCAGTCCTGAGATGTCATCAATATACATGCATTGTCAAAAAGGCAGATCAGGCTAAATTTTCTCTCCCATGTTCTGAGGCCAATGATGGTGCTCTCCTACAAACAGTTTAGCTTTGCACAAACCAGAAAACAAGCATGGTACCTTCCTGGCTTTTATAACACAAAACTACCCTGTCCAGCGATCCCAGAAACAAAGTAATCAGGAGATCATTGCGGGTGACCTCCTTGAAATAATAATGGTATTGTCAGTACCATTTAGAGAAAAATCACAACACTCAAACCAATTTATTTATGCAATGTACTGAAAGAATGACTGTCCACTATTCGTCTAACCTTAACTAAAAAAGCAGCATTTCTCAAATTTAAAAGTAAAACCACTGTCAGGCCCAGCAGGAAACTGGATTCTTCCTACAGGTTTCTAAACTTCAGCAAAATAGGCTGAAAGATCCCATTCTTTAGTTAGTCTTTCTTTTACCTGCAAATTTCATACTGATTCCAGCAGTTTCCGCGAATTCGTGGGCTTTTCCCTTTCCGGCAAGTCTTACATTTCCTTTCACCTGAAAATTAGAAACTCAACAGTAAAAAAAAACTTTACAGCGACAAACACCACAGCGCAGGCTGATGGCGTCACTCAAAGCGTCCGATCTGAGGCCAGTGGCCACGGTCTTCCACTGACAGCGCCCCCTCTACACGGGAGGGCTGCTCGGAAACTACAGACTGTTACCGTGCCTTTAACCAGTGCAGGGAAACGATCCTCTCACCCCATCCCAAATAAAGGAAGGCGAATAAAAACAGAAAGTGCTGGAGAAACTCAGCAGGTCTGGCAGCCTGGAGAGGCAGACGGACAGAGTTAATAGTCCGAAATTACTCTTTTTCAGAACTTCAGGTTAACCTGTTTCCTTCGGCTTGTTGCAGTGTTCCAGTGAATCACAGCGCAAACTAGAGGAGCAACATCCCACCTTCAGATTAAGCACTTTATAGTCTTCTGGATTTAATATTGAGTTCAACACCTTCAAATTGTGAACCATTTCCCATTTCTTCCCTTTCTTTTGGCTTTACTTGTTACACTCTCCCATTCCTTCACTTTATTTTCGCTTTACTTGTTACATTCTCTGTTCTCGTGTCCTCTCTCTCTCTCCTCCACCCACCCCAGTGGGACTGCCTGCTCTTTCAAGACTGGCAGTTAGACACACCATTGTTCTGCCGTTCCCACATTCGAATTACTCAATCTGAACTATCTACATCCTTTCTCCACCAGAACTCTACATCACCACCAACTATATCATAAATGTTGCTCCCTTCACACCGCTTCGGCTCTGATGAAGCCATCGAAACGTTAGTTTGCTCTCTCTCTCTCCATGAATGCTGTCTGACCCGCTATGATCTCCAGCTTTGTTGTTTTTTAGTACAGATTCCAGCATCTGCAGTCATTTGCTCCCTCCCCACAGATGCTACCTGACCTGCTGAGTTTCTCCAGCAATTTGTTTTGTAATTCAAATTTCCAGCATCCACTGTGTTTTTTTCATTTAAGAATTATTGTAGAATTAGACCAGTGCCGAAAAGGGTACTCAGTAAATAGTGAAGCATAGATTTCGTTTCAGTCCAATGATCTATCAGGACTGAAAAAAGTTAGAAATGTAACAAATTGTGGGCAACCAAAGAGATGGCCAAAAAGCCAGATGCCACCTGGAAATAATTTTTTTGCTTCCCTTAAAACATTTCAAATGAACCATTTCCCCTGCAATGCATTGGTTCACTCCTCAGTCCAACACCCTCTACCCTTTCTGTAGCATTTTTGGGCAGCAGATGCGATACCTGTCCTTTTAAATTCTTAATATACCAACTCTTCTCCAGCAGAAACACTGATATACTTGTTTTTATTTCATTTTAATATTCGCATTACCACTCCCTTAATTGGCCTTGCACCGTGAAACCTTTTGCCATTTAATCTCTCCAGCCTTCCACTTTCACAGAATTCTGCCTTTGTACTTTCCCCACCGCCCCCTTTCACTTTTTTACTATTACATCTCAATTTTTACCCAATTTCGATGAAAGACAAGCAACCTGTAATTTTAATTCTCTCTCCAGAGAGGCTGTCAGATTTAAGTTTTTCCTTTTCTGTGTTTTAGTACACTAATCACAAATTCGTTTTCCTAGAGATGAAAGATAACTTTAGGTATTGGAATATTTGGTCTGGGTTCAATGCCGATTTAAATAAATAAATGTGCTGTCAAAATACTTTCAGAAGAAGCATTGAAGATTTTGGTATATTTATAATTCCGATCAATTAAACAAAGTAATATTTTGCATTTTCAATTAAATTTCCTTGGCACCAAAACTATTTATAAATCATTTTGGAAACTGTTCATGTTATTTTGTAAAGTGAAAAGAAAACGTAAATTAGCAGAGCTTCCCTCGACATGGCCAGCTTTGCCCATTTAAAATAAATACATGCGCAAACAGCAATAAACCAATGTCACACAGCTGTGTAGCCGAGACTTGTTGCTTTGACCAATGAACAGGTAGTTAACTCATGAGTATAGTTTGAGTAATGCTGCAGTTGATTGGGCAGTGTTAGAAGGGAAGATGGCGGTCTCTACAGTGGAGCATGTTGTAGCGGATGCTGGAGCTTTTTTAAAGAACGCGCCACTCCAGGTCGGTGATCTATGTGTGTGGGCTTTTGTAGACAGGGTAGCAAAAATCTGCAGTTTTGTTTTGTGTTTGTTCTCGGGTCTTGTGTGTGGGACTGGTACTGACTGAACTCGGTCTTTTCCCACCTCTTGTTTAGAATCTTCCTACATAGTTACAGTGTAAACGTTCCGAAACATACAACGTAGCAATTTTTGTCTAAACACGTGTCCGTTAACATTAGGGAAACGTGAACAAGCGAGTAATAAAATCAAAGAAAGTTTTTGTTTCTCAAATCCTTTCTTTCTGATAGTCCATGAAACAGGTGACGATTTCCCAACTACTGGAGTTGTATATGAGCGTTACTTGGTCCGTCTAATTATACACTTTGCTGAGTTTCATAAATGATCAGCCTGGTGTCAGATATAGGCGACAATCCATTATGGATCTCATACTACTGATTATTATTATCTGTCTGTTTGTCTATCTATCTCCCCAACACACATACACATATAAATTTATGTGGTGAATTTGTATTTGCAGATCTGTAATTGCAGATACGTTCTATTTTGTTCTAAAAGCACACAATTTGTAGACAGTCAATGCGGCATTTACAAATTCCTACTTTGGAAATAAAACAGTCTGACTCCAAGTTGATACACAGCCAGATTCTAAGCAAAGCCTCACACCTAAAATGCAATGTTTGACCTGAGATGTCACCTCTATATACTGATAAAACCTTTAGCTATCTCAGGGCAGCAACTTGAAAGAAATTCTGGGATTTGCATATTAATCCTTTCTAACTGATAGCTGATAAATCTTCAATCTTAGGTTTGTTCAATACATTCACATCAGTCCTATGACCCTTTGATCTTTTGCTTATAAATTCTGTGTTTGATGCCAGCTCTCTCACTGACACCTGAAGAAGGAGCAAGACTCCGAAAGCTTATGTCTTCAAGTAAACCTGTTGGACTATAACCTGGTGTCGTGTGATTTTTGACCTTGTCCACCCCAGTCCAATGCTGGCAACTCCACATAATAACTGATTAGTCATTGCTGAAAATTGCCATGGAGTATTCTGGTATCAGGTGAAAGAGTTTGTTAAAAAAGATACTTACTTTCAATCTTCTGTTGCCAGATGTTATTTTGTAGTTCCAAATGAAGTTATTGACAGTTTATTTTTATTCTAGCTTGACTTCACATCACCTCATTTTGTTTGAAATATGAATTTCCATTTAAGTTTCAGATTTTATCTTCCTGTTGTGCTGACTTCACCTGATGTACAGTTCACTGGATGCCAGGCTAATTTCACCTCATGAATGGTAGCTTTTCATCTGGGTGGCCTTGACACCAAGTTTTGGCAAATGATTCAACTGAGGATCAGAATTGGTCCCGGTTTGTCCACGCACCCTTGCTCACTGGCTAATGTGGCTGCAGCCTTTGGTCACATTCAATCTGGATGTCTGGATCTATGCAGATAAGAAGTGAAACAGAGCATTTAAGTTTTGCCACTATAATAAATCTATTGATTCTATGATTCACATCATCAAACATGAAAAAGCAGAAAGAAAACTAACTTGTATTTTAAAAGTTAGACTTTTGTCAAATTAAGTTTTGAAGTTAAGATGAGACACATGACAACCTTAATGTTGTCACCCAGGCTGTAAGATGAAACTTTTCTTTACCCCTTTGCTTATAAACACTGAGGCAGTTTGTATCATCTTCAGTCATGCACTTAAAATTAGTACATTCTAGATTCTGTCTCTAGTCATCAGGCTATTGAGCAGTCAGGTGTTTACAGTGTAGAATGTCAATGTAGAATTGTCCCTCAAGGTAGACATTGTTGAATCAACCTGTTCAAAGATGTTATTATCATACCTCTATAGGAGGTTGGACTTGGATCCAGACCTCCTGGCACTGTGGATGTTGCTAAACCCTGTGGATTGCAGTGGTTGAAGAAAGCAGCTCACTGCCATCGTATCCAGGCGATAAGCAATAAATGCTAGCCTAGCCAGTGACACCTATGTCCCATGAGTGAATTTTTAAAAAAAGACTTTTAAAAGATATGAAGTAATAGCTCAATTTCAAGTGAGAAAATAGTAATGCATTAATTCTGCATAATTTCCAAATGTATTTGAATATTGTGATTTATTGAAGTTATCTAACATGAAATGGGACATAAATTGGGAGTAAATGTGTGAATGCAAGTACTGTTTGTTCATTTGCATGTGTTAAGACTACACCAGTAATTTATTCATTCTCTACCTGTAAGAAAGGACAATGGAAAAAGACATTCTAACAAAAAACACAGTAAATACCGAACAAGTCTGGGAGGGTCTATGTAGAAAAGAACAGTTAATATTTCAAGTTGAATACTTTTCATCAGAACCTGAATCTAAAAGGCATATGTCAAGAGAGTCAATAAATGTCAGATTTGTGATAAACCATGAAATTTAGTAAAACAAAACTGAGATAGAAGAAAGAAAAGAATGGATGGTGAGGTGCCAAGAAGCAAATATGTTCTTAAAAAATGTTAAGTAGAAATATCTTGGCAAGAAATTGTAAAGCATTTAACCATGTTCCATGTGTAACTTTGAAATAATCCATGTAGGCAAATGTGGACTTTAATTTATTTAGAGCAAGGAAGCACAAATAGCAAAACGGGTGAATCTGTGTTTAATAATAGTTGAAGGAGAAGAGATGGACGTTGAGAACACACTTTTCTTTGCAGAGTTCCAAGCGATCCCCAATGTCGGTCTGTACTCAGCTGTCTGTCTTAATGTTGCCTGCACTCATCTGCAACAAAGGGTATTTTAAGATGCGTTCTAAGCTCTCTGGTTTTGACGGAACCATTAGGCAAAATAAATGAGATATTTAATGTTTCCTTTCAACATGAGCTAAGTGTTAACCAAATGAGCAATGTTTGATTTGTAAAACAAAATCAACAACATTGCTATTTTTTGCATTATCCCTGTTAATCTTATTGACTTTAGGAATTTGGAAAAACCATCTACACGTTAAAGGAAGTTGTGAATGAAATACGAGACAAAGAAACTAAGCGAAGACTAGCAGTTTTACCATATCAACTCCATTTTAAAGAACCATTCCCTGAATATATTCGACATGGTGAGTTTTTTGATCACTCCTCACCCCACCCACCAAAGTTGGGGGATATATTGTGTAAAAATAAATGATAAAACCTTCATTTCTTTTATAAAACTCATGTTAAGGCCTTTGCTTGTTTGGTTTTATTTTAACAGAATTGATTTTGATAGTGAAGGAAAGAAAACTTTTGCATTATGTAATTCAGGTTGTTTTCATTTAATATTGAAAGAAATTGCTGGAATAACTCAGCAGGACTTGCAGCATCTGTGGAGGGAAAGTAGAGTTAACGTCTTGTGTCCAGTCACCCTTCTTCAGTGGCCATTCTGAAAAGAAAATTGTTCCCTTGAAAAGTTGTTGGGGTACCTGTCTCTGCCATTTATCATTAGGTACTAACCCCACGCTGTTGTAGAGACATTGTCAGACCTTACAAAACCCAACAAATGACTCTCTTCCCTCTTCTCACTGAATCATTACTGGAACTTGGATTATTAATTGGTAATGGAACCAGAACCAAAACCAAACTAAATACTGTGTTGCAGACCAAACATCTAATACGTGCCTCACTTAACTACTGATCTTAGGCTGCTCCCTTTGTCATTGAGACTGAACTCACATTGAAGGGCTTCAGGGATTTGATGGTGCAGATGGTGCTAGGACTTGGAGATTCTTTCATTAGATGGAAACTGATCAATCTTAAAAATAGTGCACAAAATAACCAGTAAACACATAGTTAAGTAGGAGCTGAAGTAGGCCAATTGACCTCTCGAGTCTGCTATCCCATTCACTGGAGCTCAGATTCTACCTAGCCAGTTTCGTGCACTATCTCCATATTTCTTGATACCTTTAATATAAGGAAATCTATCAATTTCTGTGTTGGACAGACTCGGTGACTGAGCCTTGACAGCTCCTTGGGTCATATAATTCCAAAGGGAACCTTCTGATTCTTCCTCATCTTTGTCCTAGATAGCTTATCCCTTATTCTGAGACCCATCCCTATAGGCAGGGGAAGCATCCTTACATCTACCCAGACCCATTTTGGGACATCTAAAAATTTTGTACATTTCAATGAATTCACCTCAATTTGTCCTAAACTCTAGAGAATATAGACCCAACTTTCTCAATCTCTCCCCATACGGTAATCCCACCAACCTAGAATCAGTCTAATAAATAATAGCCTGGCAAATCTGTTGCTAGGAAGGTGGCTTCATGTAACCCTATAGGCCAGTATCCCAGTGGGTGGAGTGGAGAAGTATTTAAGAAGGCAAAAGACCCCACAGACTATCCACTGGGCAAGCCTGCTCACCATTGCCAGACAGCACAAAACAATCCATCAGAATTAACAGGCAGAATGCTGCTACCTTTGAGATTCCAATGAGGTAATATCTGACTCCAAGTGTCAGCCTTATTCAGGGCTCCACATTCAGCTTGTTCATTTTATTTGTGTTCAACCCCACTGTTGCAAAATTGATCTCTCAGTTACATGTTGTAACAGTAGTATAGATTTTGCTTTTGAAACTCTATTCACATATCTTTCACTAGTGATGCCATGTTGCACATGTGGGAAACAGTCTGGTTACATGGGAATCAGAATTTTGACCCGATCTCTTACATGGGCTCAGCCTAAGGGTTGCATGTCAGTGACTTACATTTTAGATTCATTTTGCAGATCATCTGGGGACTGCTCACAGACACACTTCAAGAACCTCTAGTTTAATGGAACTTAAAAATCCCAGATTTCTGTTTGGTGAAAGACCGGGAATTCTCCCAGGGTTGTGAGCATCAAAGTCAGCAAAAGAGATGAATCAGTCTCCTTGCTGTTTGTGGAACCTTGCTGTGTAGAGATCAAATGGTGCACTTGCTGACATACACTTAAAAACTAATCCATGGGGCAGTCCTAAATTTTTGAAAGGTATTGTACAAATACAAGTTCATTCATAAGATTCAAAGATTATTTTTAAACATTTCTTCACAGTAACTGAGTTTTGTAAAAAAACAGGAGACTATCCTAGCCTCTCAGCAACTGATATTAAGGTTCTGGCACTAACCTATCAGCTCGAAGCTGAATTTGTGGGAATTGGCCACTTGAAGAACGAACCTGCACAAAAAGTAAGTAATTTATCGCGTGAAGATTATTTGTTGATTTGCTGTCTATATTTCAATCTATACAGTAAAAATCTTGGACAGTGACAGCAGAAACTTTGCTATATTATGGAAAATATAGAGCTGTGTACTGTAGTACATTTAAATGACTGCTGTGATAAAGATGTATAAAATACCTTCATATTTGGATTTTTAAAGTAGAGGCAAATGGCTTTTGGCTTCAGTTCTGTGAAGACTTTTCCTTTTCTTAAAAAAAAAAATCAAAGTTGTTTAGAAACGTAACCCAAATACATCAATTCCAAGAAAACATGTGATTCAAGCAGGTGCCTAACAGATTACTTCTACTGTTAAGTTATATAATATTTTTACTGCTAAATTTACCACATACAGGGAATACAGATCCATGGCCACTAATTATAGATTTTGACTTTAGTTTAGAAGAAGAATCAGAGGTTCAGTTTAAGTTTCCTCGCTGAACTGAAAACTTGATTGTTCAGGAGAACAGTCATCCTAGCAGAAGTGTTTTAGTTTTGGGGTGCCTCCAAACTGTGAGAGTTTCTACAGAAGTTTCCAAATTGTCAGAACTGGCAGGTGATTTGGGCCAACAGAACTCGAAGCAAGTTGTAAGGTTATCTCAGCAGTCCAAGAAGGAGAACTAGACAGAGTCTGTTAAGTAAGAATACAGAGTTCGGTGAAGAGTGATATTTCTCCGGGATTTGAGCATCCACAAAACATATATTCCTGGGGAAACAGGTTGAAATTTATTTTGTTTATGTTAAGATCTTTCTCAACTGTCATATATAGCTTTGTCGTTTGTTTTTCTGTATGTGATAATCTTGCGTTCTTTGCATTCCTGTAGCCTTGTGTGAATACACTTAACTAGTCACCACAGCAGTTGACTATAGAGAATTAACTTATGATCTGTCAAGCCAAGTTTCACTTTGGGATCTGACTTGTTCAGTATTACTATTAACTGCGATTATACAGTATAAAACTGTTTCATTTTGTACTGCTGATACTTGTTTTGAGAAGCAGATACTGGATGCACAAATAGATTTAGCAGAATACTAAGCTATGTTGCCCATATTTGAATATAGCAAATGATTTTTAGAATCTAAAAATCATATCTTTTATGAACACAATGAGCAGAAAAAGACTAGCTGGGCCATTAATCCTTCACTTAATAAGTTTTGCTCAATATTTCAAGTGGAAATCTAATATACAGACATGCACAATCAATTTATAAAAATAAAATTCTCCTTCAGCCATTGCTGGGAGGCAATGGTCTGATGGTATTACGGCTAGAGTGTTAATCTAGAGACCTAGGTAATATTCTGGGGATTCTGATTCAAATCCTGCCAAAGCAGAGGGTAGAACTTGAATTCAGTAGAAATCTGGAAGACAAATAATGGCCGTTGTTAATTGTCGGAAATCCCACCTGGTTCTCAAAGGCCTTTAGCAAAGGAAATCTGCTATCCTTACCTGATCTAGTCTGCATGTGACTCCAAACCCACAGTAATTGGCTTGACTATTAACTGCCCTCTGGGAAATTAGGGAAGGGCATTAAAAGCTGTCCTAGCCAGTGATACCCACATTCTGTTATTGCATTTTTAAAAATTAACATTAAGCCCAAAATCAAAGGTGTGAAACAGAAACATGGATATAAGTTTCTTGTATACTTTGTATCAAATGATCACAGGCAAGAAAGGTACTGTGTTGATATCGCAGTGTCATTGGTGATATTCTCACTGGTTAAAAATATGTGTTTTGTGTCCAATGTTTTACTTGTGCAACAGAAATGTTAGGTAGATGTACTCGCCAGTAAAACAAACAAAATCAGTAATTGAAAATCCAATTTGTTCTTGCTTTATTTGGTTAGGTTGAAGTGAGTACCACTTTGAGACACCCAGAGTCAATGATCGACATAGCAGGTTTTCATCTGCCATCTAAGGTAAAAAAAACAGCATAGTTTAGAAGCATGTAAAGAATTTGAATTGCATTTCTAAGAATTATCATTGATAGTTATGTATGTACTGTATTACTAATCTCCATCGAACAGTGCAGAAAGAACTGATAGTCATTCGGAAGCACAGAAACTGAATATTGCTGGAAAAACGGATTTTATCAAAGTTTATTATCTTACAGTCATTAGGACAATACACAAGAATACCAAAGTAAAGAGGAAATGACATTCGTACCATCTGAGCAGAAAGTGCTGATTGTTTGGCAAGTGGACTCTTGTCACTTGGTTGACTAGTAGTTAGGGGGTGTTACTGAAGAGAGTGCACCGGTTCGATTTTGATTGACAGTTAACTACCAAGTCATTTTTAAACTTTAAAGCAGTCAAGATATTGCTTTAGATGGGGGAAATGAGAAACGAACCAGAGAATGGCTGTCACCTATCTGTTGAGTTGAAACAGGTGCGGTGTGTGTGTATGTGTGTGTGTTATTTCTGTTCAAAAGAACTTAAAAAAATCTACCAATTGAGGTTAATTTGTCAACCAATTAGCACATTCCACCTAACAGCATACATATTGTTTATACAGTTTTTGAGTGAGGTACTCATTGGTGTTGAATGTGTGTAACTGAGCTATTAATGAAAATGATGGTCACTGTGGTATTATGGTTCACTTGAGTTGTTGTGTGGCAACATACACTTTCCTATGAAACAAAAACAGAAATTGCTGGCAAAACTGAGTAGGTCTGGCAGCATGTGGAGAGAAACCAGAAGTGTTTTAGAACCAATGATCTTTCTTCAAAACTGGGGGTTTCCAGCGATTTCAGTTTTTGTTTCTGATAATTCCAGCATCTGCAGTTCTTTGGTTTTTATTTTGTTTTATGAACTTTCATATACATTTTATACATATTTCTAAACAATCTGTTCAGATGTGTTATGACACACATCTGGAGCATGTGAGACTTGAACCCAGGCCGGGTTGCTCAGAGCTAGGGAACACTAACGCTGTACCACAAGAGTCCCAACATATATTACATTGTATGGAGCTGTGAATAGCAATAGTACAGCCTCCAATGTTCTTTCTGTCATGTAGCTGACCAAGAATCTCTTGTATCAGAAGGGTTTGCAGGTTATTACCCAGGCCATTTGTCCATGTTTTAAACGCACCTTTTCTTGACCATCAAGTCCTAGGGTGGGACTTGAACCTGCAACTTCTGGCTCAGAGGCAGAAACCCTACTGGTTGCAACAAAAAATCTCATATGTATTAAAATCGGAAACTGGGGCAAAGAGACATGAAGAAGAAGAAAAAAGTTTGCAGTTGAGATAAACATACTACTGCATCAAAGTCATTGCTGTTTAGAATTGATTGTTAGTCCAGATTAGTCTTTAGATTTCTTGTCCTAAAGCAGTTCACAACTATCCTCCTTGCCACTGTAACACACCGAGGCACTACACAGGCCAGCTGGTTTTGATTTGATTGCCTGAAAATGCTGAGTTAGCTTCTTCAAACAGGGCCAATGTGTCAGGCACCAGAATACAGAGACCTTCTACGCTCAAAGATGAGTGAAAACAGAAACCTATTTCACTGCTGTGTTCTCTACATTCAAGTAATCTCTCTGGATTTTTAGAACAAAACTGTCCATAGACTGCCAAACTGAAAGGAGTTACCTCCTTCAGAATGAGGAAACAACATTTGAGGGGTGGAGCGGGGAGTAATTGCAGAAATAGAATTTCTAGATTGGTCAAGTTATCAAAACCACTAGCAACTGCAAAAACTTCATACCGAAATATAATGTTACTAATGTCAAACTATTTGTTGTAGTCTGAATCTGAATTTGTTCGAATTTGAGTCAGTTACAATTACATTGACATTACCGATTCAATCAGACCTACATTGCTTGTCCTTCCTACATATTAACCATTATTGAAAATAGTGATTTAGAAACTCATGTTTTCAGCAGTCAGGTTTGTTTCTTACATTTTTGTATGAATACAATGAAAATTATTTTTACACAGCAGCATTCAGAACAAGATTGCCCAAAGGAAGATTGTTCACTCTCTTTAGGATCAGAGGAAGCTTGCCATCCAAACAAAAAACGTTCTAGTGAAGTGCCTGTGGCTGATGCATCAGAATTTAGTACCTTTCATTATTGGAGAAATCCATTACCAAGCATTGAAGAAGATCTGCAAGACTTTTTGGTAAGCTGGTATTTTGATGTCAGGTCATTGACATGAAACATTGACCTTCAACATTGACCTTCTGTGCCTTTTTCAGCATTTTCGATGTTTAATTTTGCAGTATTTAGCTTTTGGGTTTTATTGTGTTAAATTAATGGTAGTGTACAATACAGACTCCTCTTTAGTAAGTGAGGAACAAATCTAGATATTCTGAATGTAATTTGTACACCAGAAATTGATGTGCTAACCTGCATTACTTAACAGAAGAAAGAGAATGGCTGTACTTCGAGTGAGACTTCACTCGAGCAACACCAAGAAGAACAGTATGAAAGTGAAGGAGATGAGGAAAAAGACGATGATGATGGGTGGATAACACCTAATAACATTCAGCAGATCCGCCAAGATATGGGCTGCTCTGAGATGATGGCAAACGTCAAAGTTGGTTGTATGACTACAGATTTTGCCATGCAGGTAATAGTTTTTTAAGCTTGCTATTGAGTCTGAGGGGTGTTCTTCTGGAGGTTTCTAAAATCATGAGGGGCATGGATAGGGTGAATAGCCAAGGTCTTTTTGGGTGGAGAGGGGCGGGGGGGGGGGGGGGGGGGGGGGGGTGGTGGAACGGTGGTGGTGTCCAAAACTACAGGGCATAGGTTAAGGTGAGAGAGTAAAGATTTAAAAAGGACCCGAGGAGTAACATTTTCGTGCAGAGGGTGGTGTGCGTATGGAACGAGTTGCCAAACGAAGTAGTGGAGGCTAGTACAATTACAACATGTAAAAGGCATCTGGATGAGTATATGAATAGGAAAGGTTTAGAGGGATAATGGGCTAAATGCTGGTAAATGGGACTAGGTCAGATTGGGATATCTGATCAGCGCAGAAAAGTTGGACTCAAGGATCTGTTTCTCTGCTTTTTAACTCTGAGTTGAAGAATCTACCAATGATAGAATTGCCAGTAAAGACCACTAGAGTCAAATGTGAACATATGAATTAGGGACGGTAGTGGGCTGTGACCTGCTCCATCATTCAAAAGATCATGGCTGACTGAAGGAAAAAGTAAAGTTGATTGAAGTAAGATTTAAGTAGAGAGATTAAAACTGATGGTGATGAAGAAAGATTACCACATTGAAATTTGTGCCTACATGAAGTAACTACATTAGTATTCTAAGTACACATATTTCACAGAGTAATTACTGAAATTTTTATTACACTTATTATTTCTCCTGGTTTCTTGGCCAGCGATTTTTCTGTTCACCAATATCACTAGAACAGATTTATTTATTTTAGTATTTGGCTAATGTGAACATTCCTTCTAAACTTTGCTGAAACAGGAAAGTCCCTACAACGGCCACCTGCTGTGAGATACTACTAGTGATAGTTGCATACAAAACTTAAAGGAGCCACACACTTAAACAATTGACTTGTGCAGTATAGTAAAATAAAGGTACGTTGGCCATCACTTTTGCCTATCCTATAACATGCTTTGCTAAATCCGAGTCCTTTGCTTATTTCTTAGAATGTCCTTATTCAGATGGGGCTTCATGTGATTTCATTAAAAGGAATGCTTATAAAACAAGCACGAAACTATATCTTGCGATGCCATGCATGTTTCAAGTAAGTATTGATCAGCTGTACATTGGAATGTTTTTTGAGAATCTCAAACTATACTGTAAGGATCAAAAATTGGGCATCTCATGGGGAATTTAGAGGATAAATGCATGCCTTACTGTCAAAGGCGCATAAACTGCAGTTGGAAATCTTAAACTGTCAGCAGATTAACCAGCATCTGGAGAACAGAGCTCATGTCATGCGTGTGAACCCTTTATCTTAACTGGAAGATATTACAGATGAATAATATTGAAAAATGGGAAGATACAGATAAGAGAAAGTAGTCCATAAAGTACTTAAGTGGATATCAGGAGTTGGTGAAATGGCTAAAGTGATATATAATAAAAGATAGAACATTTGAGAGAATATGTGAATAACTGATGATAGATGGCAGAATGGAACAGCTTCCACAAGCCAGAAGTATAGAACAAACTCTAAACCACACTTCCAACATAGTGTTCAGAATGAAAATCTCCTTTGCCAAGTATCAATCAATCTTCTGATATATTTGACCTGAATCCATTATTAATTGCGGTGGTTTATTGAATTTTTAAGTTTGTCAAAAGGTATTTCTCTGAAACTCTGATTTTAGAGACAGTATCAACGTCATGTAGTTGCTGAGTAAAGATAATAAAAGTCACTGCAATGTATCCTCCCTGGATCAATATTGTGCTTTAATCTGAAACTCAAGATAACTCTTCCTGTGGAAGAAAAATTTTACATCACAAGGGTAGATAGGAATTTAGGCCAAGACAGAAAAGGCAGCCATGGGAGAAACTGATGGCATAGAGAAAGAATTTTAATTAGTTTAGCATGTGGGATTTTAATGAGCTTAGCAGAAGTCAGGAGATAGTTACTCAGACTGTGTTATCACTATATGCATGTTATCTTAGCTAGAGTTAGAGAAGGATCTTTTGATATATTGTCACTGTACTAAGGTTTTAGACTGAATTAAAGATGTCCCTTATATCCCCGTGGAGCCTAGTTACTGATAAGCTAGAGTTTCAATCAAACTGTATATCACTGCTTATGCTAGCTGCACGCCGAAGGTCATTTGAAGAAGTAATTATTAAGGTATCTGTAAGACAGCATTCCTGTTACATCGAGCAGTGTCTGTTTTCTTTAAACATACAATGAATGAATCAACAAAGACAAGATGTCACGGGAACACCCTGCTCTGAAGTTAATGATATAAATGAGATTGTTATACTCTGTATTAGCAGAGTCGGGTGTCAGTGGAGATCGACACTCACTTTCCTTGGTACAAAGTAAGAAAATAAACTGCTTCGGATGGGAGCTGGAGTCGAGTCTCATTATTAGTTAAGCAGAAATAAAATATTTCTACAACACTTCCTTAATTAACATATTCCATATGAGATGCTTCTATTTGTTTCTGAATCAATGGTTCATGGACAGAGTTTTGGGATATGGACTGATGCTGAAATGCTCCCAAAATGTGCCAAAAAATCAAAGCATAATGAAGATAGTTGGAAACCAGTCTTGTGTAAATGTTCCTATCTGGCTGATTTCCATCAGGACCACAACTAACATGAACAAGACATTCTGCCCAAGCTGTGGTAACAAGACACTGAAGAAGGTAGCAGTGACTGTAAATGAGGATGGCAGTATTCACATGCATTTCTCAAAAAACCCAAAAGTGTTGAATGCACGAGGATTGAGGGTAGGTTGCTCCTTTTATTTATTTATTTTTTTTGAAAAACCCACCACTTAAACAAATTGGTTGGTTGTTTCTTTATGTTTATGCTATTGAATGTGACACACATTTGGGATGGTAGCAAACTTCTGTTTCATCCCTTTAACAAAAATTGTTTGTTAGCAGTGCAGTACATATAAACGTAGACATTAGTGAAATCTTTACTGAAATTGCACTGGGAAATAATATACTGTTTATATTCATTTCATGTGATTGTTTTAATGTTCCATAATCATTGGATCAAATACTGACAAACTTCATCTCACTTAATTTTGAATTTGCATTATTTAATAACTGTCCCTAAGTAATATGCAGTTGCTCCACTGGATTGTTATTCCATAATATGTAGAAGAGAAGATAAGTCAATTCTTTATGATTACTGGAAATCCTGCTTTAACCATCTAAAGGGGAGTTGATAGCCATTTACCAATAGAATCTTTCGTTCTGATTTTGTAGTGGGACAAGGGAGAAAGGAGTGGAAGTTAAAAGCTGCATTATTCAGTATTTATCCCTTCCAGTGTGTTGGGGTGAATGCTATTGTGGAATGGAGGACAGAGACAAATAAATATTAAAATACAAATTAAATGGGAGCAACATTTTCTTTTAGTCAACTAGTTGATCATATTTTTAAAACTAATTGTTAATATCTTGTCTGGCAACACGCATTTATGTCATGAGCATCCTGTTAATTCTTTTCTTTTTTGTCCTGTAGTATTCACTCCCATTACCACATGGTGGGAAACATGGCAATAATCCACATTTGACTGAAGACCAGAGCTTTCCTCAGCAAAGACTATCCAAAAAGGCTAGACAGAAGACAAATGTCTTTGACCCAGATTACATTGCTGGGATTTCTCCCTTTGTGGAGAATGACATCTACAGCAGAGCTGCTAATTTAAACATTCGGGACAACAGAATTGGAGCAGGGAGGAGGAGGATGAATCCAAATGCTGTAACAAAGAAGTTTGTTAAGAAGAAATAATTTTTCCAACTGAGATACTGGAGTATAATGGTGTTTTTGATCACTATATTGTAAAACTATTTGTACAAAATAAATTCAACAAAAATTGTTAACAGATTTTCATTGTTGATTTTTTTTTTAAAAAAAGTTCAACAGTACTCACTGAAGGAATATAATACTTGCAAACATTTTCTGAAACTAGTAACCCTACATGCGTATAATGTTTACTCAAAAGTATATTTATATTAATATTGCTAGAGGAAGATGGTTTACCAGTCAACACTGTATACCTTTTAACTACATGTTCCTCTTGTCTCATTTAGTATAAAAATACTCCTCTGGAATCTAAATCCAGATTGTTTTTGGTTGAAACCTACTATGTTTGCAACTTCAGTATAAATAAATTTAATACATTCACTTTTTTTCTTGCTTTGCTTCATCAAGCTTTGTTTTTAAAAGTTTCCCCGAAGATGTATCTCAATTGCAACCAAACATACTTGTTTGTTCAGTAACTTCCAAAGTTTATCTCTTCATTGTGATTATTAAAATTTTAAATATTTAAAAGTAATGGTATAATAGTCCCATGATACAGTCATTTGAGAAATGTTGAATTAAGATATATTTAATTCTTTTGGGAAGGAGTGCAAATGTGCCGAAATTTGTTTAAAGTCTGCCGTAATAACCAACATTTTTGTACATAATGCAACAAAAGTTCAGTGCATAGTTTAATTGATGTAATATCAGAAAATGTTGAGGCTTTGCACAAGAGTAATCTCATATTTTGCAGCATGCCTCAGGGCCAGCATTTGTGGCCCATTCCTAATCTTCCTTGAACTGAGTGTTTTGCTAGGCAACTTCAGAAGAACAGTCAGTCAACATTGCAGTGGGTCTGGAGTTCACATGTAGGCCAGAGCTGTAAGGCTGCCAGTTTCCTTCCATAAAGAACTTGGTGAACCAGGTGCCTTTTACAGCATTCAAAGGCAGCTTCATGGTCACCATTACTGGTGTCTATTGGTTTTATAATCCATATTTTTATTAACTTAAATTCTAAAGCCTCCAATTGCTATGGTGAGATTTGAACCCATTTCTATAAAGCAATGGATTACTAGTCTAGTGACAATACCATCATTACATCATACTAAAGTACTATTGCTATGGTGGTCGTAAATGCAGCAGGTTAATTTAGCCCAAATATATTTTATATTTATACTTTGTGGTTCATGTTTCATGTGAAGGCAACAATTATTAAAGTGTACATTAAGGTTTGAGAGAGTTTTCAAACTAATTTAAGTACATCAGTGGAAAGAGTTAAATGCTGTTTTACATTTTTAAAAAAATCTCTTGTATTGTTGATTAAAACTAGATAAACATATTCAGTAATAATTATTGCATTGATTTTATTTATAGTCATTGTGGTGTTAATGTGGAGCTAAAGCTTTTTAACACTGCACCGTGAGTTGATACATAGATTTACTGCTCAGAATGGTGGGACTGGGTGGGTGGGGGGTTTAAAGATTAACAGATGCAACTATGTTAAGCTGAATTTAATCTGCTAAATTGTATTTCCAGTTTATCTTAAACATATTCATCATATGTGGGATAACAAGGTGTAGAGCTGGATGAACACAGCAGTCCAAGCAGCATCAGAGGAGCAGGAAAGCTGACATTTCGGGTCTAGACCCTTCTTCAGAAATGGGGGCGGGGAAGGGGATTCTGAAATAAATAGGGAGAGAAGGGGAAGCAGATAGAAGATAGGTGGAAAGGAGACAGACCGATCAAAGAGGCGGGGATAGAGCCAGTAAAGGTGAGTGTAGGTGGGGAGTTAGGGAGGGGATAGGTCAGTCCAAGGAGGACGGACAGGTCAAGGAGGCGGGATGAGGCTGGTAGGTAGAAGATGGGGGTGGGGCTGGAGTTGGGAGGAGTGGATAGGTGGGAGGAAGGACAGGTTATGGAGGCGGGGATGAGCTGGGCTGCTTTTGGGATGCGGTCGGGGAGGGGAGATTTAGAAGCTTGTGAAGTCCACATTGATACCATTAGGCTGCAGGGTTCCCAAGCAGAATATGAGGTGCTGTTCCTGCAACCTTCAGGTGACATCGTTGTGGCACTGCAGGAGGTCCAGGATGGACATGTTGCCCAAGGAGTGGGAGGGGGAGTTGAAATGGTTCGCGACTGGGAGGTGCAGTCGTTTGTCACGAACCGAGTGTATCGTTCCACAAAGCAGTCCCCAAGCCACCGCTTGGTTTCCCCGATGTAGAGGAGGCCACATCAGGAACAATGGATACAGTATACCACATTAGCAGATGTGCAGGTGAACATCATATGTGGGTTTTTTCCTCCCTTGCTTCATTGTGTTTACTTTTGTTTACAATTTGATAGTTGATTTCTCTTCTATTACTAACTTGCAAAATACGCTAAAATCCATATTTGTCTTTCAAACAATGAGAAATGCTGATAGACCAAGACCAACATTTTTGATGTGGGTAGGAAATTGAAGCCTCATTTTCAAAAGGAGTAACTCATTCTACCACAGATTCAGCAGCCTCACTTTTGCAATTGTATGATTGCATAGAATCATAGAAACCTGTCATTAGGGTCCATTGGGCGTATGCTGATTCTGAGTTATCCAATTAGTTCTACTAATCTCCTCTGCTCCTCCATGGCCCTGAAATATTGCTAAGTCAGTTCCCTTTTGAAAGTTGATAGTGAATCCACTCTCACCACCTTTTTGGGCACTGCATTCCGCATCATACCAGTTCAGTAAGAAAATATAACTCATTTTCAGCAAACTAGAGTTGATTCCCCCCCTAAGCCCAAGAGAGGGGACATAAGTTTACAGATTGTGGTTAAACACGTTTCTATTTCTGCTGCTAGCCCATAGCATCTCATGCATTCCTAGTTTTGAACACTACATCTGTTTGAAATCTGCCCCATTAAGCATAGTGGCAGTGCCATATCTTCAATGTGAAGATGAGACTTTTTCTGGACTAACTGTGCAGAGGTCATTTCTACAAGTTCTGTCATGGATAGATGCATCTGTGATAGATAAATTGATAAGGATGAGGTCAAGCAGATTCTTTCCTGTAGTTGGTTTCTTCACCATCTGCTGCAGACCCAGTCTAGGTGCTAGGAGCCTGTCAGTATTCTGCTCTGAATACTGTGACAGGCCATAATACTGGTCGGCATTACTGCCGAACTTAATACTATCCTCACCACACTTGATAGGTAGCAATAGTAATTAGGAAAGAAATTCCAAAATAATTCCACTGCCTACGTTTGGGATTTCTCATAATACTTGAATACAAACCAAAAGCCACCTTGATTTGTATGGCTCAATTCTAAAGAAATAGTGTTCTTTGGTACATGAATTCATATTTTACACTTCACTAAACCATCTTATCTAAAATAAGAAAGAGAGAGTATGAAGGGCAGTGTATTTGGATTTCCAAAAAGGAATCTGATAAGGTGCCACACAAGACAATACACTGGTATTGGGGAACAGCGGTATTGCATTAGCATGGATAGATGATTGGCTATTTAACAGGAAACAGTCAGGATAAATGTCAATGCTGGTGATTCAACTATTTTATCTCAAATCTGCTACAGAAAAGCAGATCCAACCCACAGTAACTCAATCTCTACCTCAGGGAGAGCAAAGAGGTTATTCCTGAAGCTGAGCCAGACAGACATATTTTGTTGGCACTAATTTGATGCACACTGACCCCTCCATCCAACTAACGCCAAGGAATCAGTTGCTACAGACATGTACACTTTTATAAGCACATTATAGTCACCCGCCTACACTTGACAGCTATCTCGCCAAACATTTCTTATTCATGTACTTATTTACATGTCTTTTAAACAGCGTAACTGTATCCGCATCCACTACTACCTCTGGAAGTTCATCCCACACATGAACCACTAAAACAAAATTGCCTCATTTTTAAAAAAATCTTTCTCCTCTCCCCTTAAAGATATGCCCCCTAGTCTTGAAAACCTCAACCTAAGGTGAATGGCAGGTGTATTTTCCTTATGATTTTATAAACCTCTGCCAGATCACCCCTCAACCTCCTACATTCCAGTAAGAAAAGTTCCAGCCTTTCTTTGTAACTCAAACCCTCCATTCCCAGCAACATCTTGGTAAATCTCTCCTGAACCCTCTCCAGCTTCATGATATCCTTCCTATAACAGGGAGGCCAAAACTGGACACAGTACTCCAGAAGAGACCTCCTCAACAACCTGTACAACCTCAACATAACATCCTAACTCTTATACTCAAAGGTCTGAGCAACGAAAGCAAGCATGCTAAACACCTTATGTGTGATGTAAACTTCAAAGAATTATGTACCTGAACTCATAGGTCTAAAAGTCCTGTGGTGGTAAATTCCAATTTTTTCCATCATGTTTAACCAGGAATCTCTCTTGCTTTTACCATGTATTGGCAAATATAGGAAAAATGTACAAATTTATAAACAACCTGTTGTTCATATTCTGAATGCAACTTTCTTGGCCATCAGGGTTTCCTTAGTCTTGACTGGGACCTAAACTGGAATCTTCTGGCTCAGAGACATGAGCAATACTCACTCAGTTATGAGCTTACATGCAACTGGGTGTTCAAAATTAACACAGCCTTTAACATGGTACAAAAATATTTACCTTTTTACGTGATTTTTGACAAGTTACATGAATTAACAAGTATTAATAACAACATTGGCTATTTATAAATTCATCTGGTTTTCCCAATCCACATGCGTTAAAAAGCATATACTTGCATGCTGCTCGTAAGTCAACTAGTCTTTAATTGATATAATAGGAAGTAAAATAGCCACATTTTGTACAATATTTATACCAAGGTAAATTACAAATCAGACAAAAGTTCGCTATTGCTAAGGACAGGACCTAAACGTTCATTTAATCTTACCCACTGACACCTTATGAAAAAATTCTTAGAAGCCCAGGAATAATTTTAGAACACTGCACCTTAGATTTGCTATTTACAATTCACAAAGGATGTTTACATTGATTAATATAATTTATCAAGTTTCACATATCCTGCAAATTTACAATGATTATTTACAAAATTAGCATACCTCAATTTCATAAACTCCACAACCCTTTTAGGTTTACAAAACTATTTCAGAATAGCCTTCCATGTTAATAGAGTGATAGCATCACACAACTAAAGTCTGTGAACACATTATCTTTCAAAAGTTATCAAAACATTCAACAGCATCCTAGTCCCTTAAACAGGCAGGATTTATGATGATCCCATATTTAGGAGACATTAAATAAAACTTAATTTGCTGTTTGTCAGACCTGTTTATTTCCAAGTGATTTTCTAATTCCTGGATTAAACTTGGAATAATCAGGTGTTGTAACAAACTTTTTAGCGACCAATTCAGTCCGTGGTTGCCCTCAGCAGTAAATATTAACATGGATTTGCCAACAATTTAAGAACGTCATCAAGCTAATAAAATAGAACAAGAGTGTGGTGTGTCAATATTGAAAACAGTATCATTGTTAAGAGACAACCATTTGTTCTTTCCTCAATTCTCATTTATACTATCCGCTTTGGGAAAACTATATTAAGTTAATAAAACATGAAATATTAACAAGTTTAAATAAAGGAACTGCACTAACAAAAAGTAGAACTTACCTTGGTTGACTGTGTCAAGTTTTTTTTTTATTACAATATATTCTCCATTTTAGGATGAACTAAATCCAAAGAATCTAATTTTTCAATATTAACCTTAGGGAAAAGAAATCAATCATTTATGCAGTTCAGTCCACTGTTTGGAATAAGTGATAGGAAGCCCATGTACACATAACCACATTTGCTAAATTAAAAACATGCTACAGTCCAGCTTGCTGTGAGTCACCTTCTGTTGCCTGGCCATCCATATTTAATGGGTCTGGTTTCATTTCCTCCGTTGTTTCATTTGACACAGATGAAAGCAATGTTGGTGGATATTGTTCACTTCGTGTATCTAATCCAGAGCTGTCTAAGGTATGTTCCACTGGCAAGAGTTGAATGGAACTGTTTGGTGGAATTATAATTTCCTTTTTAGGTAGGAGAAAATCAAGCATTTCTAGAATAACACTTGTGTTAATGCACCCAATGGAGCCATATTTATGAAGGTGAGTAGGAGGAATACCTGTGAAACATTAAAAAAAAACATAAATTTTTGAGTCAGGAGTGGGCTGTGGTTCAACTGAGTTTATTCAACATCAATAAAAAATAATACGTTTACACTAAGTAAGTGGTGACTGCAGCATGAGCAGTAGCTGAGTACATACCTAAAATCTGCGCTACTTGTGCAGGTGGAAAAAGAACCTGCAAGCATCGGTTCAGATAAGGCACTAAGTCTTCAGTAAACGTAATGCAGAACTGGACAAACAGCTCCCGTTCTTTCACACTGAAGGCAGTTTCCTCTGCTCGATGAAAACTGAGAATTAATTTTGTAACCTACAAAGAAAATCTCAATTAGAAAAACATACATTTTCTGAAAATTTGCTCAGCATTGAACATTTCTGCAAAGAAAGTTAGAGGTGTAGACTTCTCCAGATCTGTCACTGTTATCACTCATAACTCATTTTGGAGAACTACTGAACAAGTCTAGTAATTCAATTCCTTCTTTCTCTTACCACAGTGTGATTTTTTGCACAACTATTCTCAAAAACCATTTTTGACTAACTATTCTGAAAAATCTAATATTGATCACTTTTGATGATCTTATGGCATTCATTCCTTAGGCACTGGTCATTCCACTAGTACGCCACTGAGCACAGAATTATTTTGAGATAGGAGGAGGTCTTTCAGTCCATCACTTTCACGCTGGCTCGGTAGAGCACTGCCATTAGTTCCATTCCCTTACCCTCTATAAATTTATTCCCATTACTGCCCATAAAAATCAGTCAGTCACTAGCTCAGCTTCCAATACCTTCATAGTGAGTAAGTTCTAAATCATTCACAACTGTGATAAAATCTGTGGTCAAAGTTTGTAACTTATCTTGAAATGGACTCCAACCGGATAAGAAACCAGAGAGCAAAGAAACTGACTCAGTTTCTCAAGAAACAAAAACTGAAACTACAGCTAGAAACCAAAACTTCCGAGACTGAACCTGATCAAAAGGACACCAATCAATCCAAGCTCAGTTGAAGCTAATTAGTCCAATAGGGCAGTACAGACAAACTGAAGGTGGCAGGGGCTAGATACAGAAGTTGAGAATAACAAAATGCATAGGTTCTGTGGCTGTTTCTGTTACTTGAAGGTAACATTGGTGGGTCTATGCCATCCAAACTGAATTAAGGAACTTAAGTAGATGTGCCAGTTTCGGTGAAGACTGTGGTCATGGCTGGTTGTGTGCTGTGTCAGCTGGGGATCAGATTAGCTCCAAAGGAGAATGGCTGAAATTCTTCATGAGGACAACAGGGTCAGATTGATAATCTTTATGTCGTATGACTGCTATACCAATTTGTAGGAGCTGCCTTAATCATAACTGTTATTTTGTGTGTAATTTAGAGTTTATAATTGACTGTAGTCTGCCTGTTAAGTTAAAAATGCATTAAGTGATTCTGAATTTGAGATCCACTTGCATATTTTGCCCAAAAGCTTAAAGGAATGTCCCCTAGACCTTGCTCATTCAGCTAATGGCAACACTTTTCTCTGTCTACCTTATCTAAAGCTGTCAAAATCTTGCACACCTCTTTCAACTCTCTCCCTCAATCTCGTTAGCTCCCAAGGAAAGAGAACCCAGTATGTCTGACATAACCTTTTAGCTAAAATCCCTCATCACTCAAATCATTTTGGTAAATCTCCTTGGAACACCTCTTCCTCCTCAAGTGGTTCAGAAATTTTAGCATGTCCATAAGGACCCTCACCAACTTCTAAGGATGCACCATTGAAAGCATACTGTCCAGGTGCATAATGGCCTGGTATGGCAACTGCTCTGCCCAGGACCGTAAGAAACTACAGAAGGTGGTGTTCACAGCCCAGACCATCACGGCAGCCCACCTTCCATCTGTGGACTCCACGGATGGAGCTGCAGGAAGGCTGCCAACAAAGATCCATCACACCCTGGTAATGATCTCCTACAACCACTTCCGTCAGGCAGAAGATACAGAAGCCTGAACCATGCACAAGCAGACTCAGGAACAGTTTCTCCCCAGCCGTTATTAGACTGATGAACAGATTCTCTAGCCTCAAATAATGTTGTTTTTCTTAACGTTGATCTCGCCTAGCACAAACCCTGTGCAATGTAACCTGTATGCCTCTAAGTCTTTTGATCTGTACATCCTTGCTTGCTATGATCTGCCTGTACTGCTTGTAAACAAAGCTTTTCACTGTATTTTGGTACATGTGACAATAAATCAATGAACTTTCTTAAAGATCTTCATAGCCTTCTTGAAGCACAGTGACTGGAACTGGATGCAATACATAAGCTGTGTTCTAACCATGGTTTTAACAGGTTTTTTAAAAATAACTTCTAGCTTTGTACTCAATGCCTCAATTTCTGAAGCCTAATATCCCATTTGCTTTACTCACTGCTTTTTCAATAAGTCCTACTTTAGTATTCTCTGTCCCAACACTCTTTTAGGACTACACTTTCAGTCTATATTGCTTCTGCCAAAATTGCATCAACTCACATTTCTGTGTATTAAAATCCATCTGCAACTTGTTTGCACGTTCTGATAGTCCGAACAGTCAATTGGTATCATTTGCACCATCAGCTATATTCCAAGTTTAGAATGATCAAATTTTGAAATTTTACTTCATATTCCAAAATCATCTAGTTCCAGCTTCCTTCTTTGAACTAATCCTTCATCCAAATTACAGGGTAATTCTGCTACAACATGTGTTCCGGCAATGCAAATTGGCTATTTCTAAAACGCAAATGTGTATTGGCTGTAACGTGATTCCTTCAAGTACGTGTCAACATTGCGGGCTTTGTCAAAGGAAAATTTCTTTTTGATCCTTGCAGATGATGTAAATGTTCAAAGTAAGTCATAATGAGCTCATTTCAAAAAGGTAATTGTCATAAACCTCAAATATAATATCACAGAGAACAATTGTCTTATTAGGAATATATGTGAAATCTTATTTTGACGAGTTTTTGCTGAACACAAATTTAAAAAACGGAAGTATAGTTTAAAATAATATAGGTGCTGTTAAAACATGCACCTGTGTGTAGTATTTTTGCCTAGATTTTACATCTTTAATATGAAAGAACTTTTGAACTTGCTCACGTAAATCATTTATACCATAAGTTCCCTGTGTTACAACCTGCTCTTTTCCAGCACTATTTTGAATACAATTTACTCAGGTTTATAACACATTTTAATCCTACAATTAAATTCAATGTCAATGGGCTACACAGGAAAGAAAGGTCAGATTCCTCTGCTTCACTTATGTGAAAATCTATCCAGAAGTCCGTGCCGATGGAATGTCAGGTCACATGAGATCAGCAATGGGCTAGGCTGTGATGCAGACTGCGTTTCAGGTGAATAGATTTTATTTGATTGTAAGTGTCAAGGCTCACACAAGTGACAGGCATGGCGCCAAAACTTACAAAAGAGTGGTAAGGAAGAATTTTGAGTGATTGAGTGATATTTTTTGGTGGTCTGCCCCTAATCCCACCTTTCCATTGGCCCCGTTATTTCTATAGCATGATTTTTTATGACGCGATGTTGTGCTGGAACGCTACTATCACGTTATAGCAGAACCCCCTGTAGTGTATTACCCTCTACTCCATTGGTCGTCATCTTTCATCTTAATGTTTTGGGCAGTACCTTATCAAATGTTTCTTGAAAATCCAAATATACTACATCTACTGGTTCCCCTTTATACTGCTAGTTACATCCTTAACTTTGTCAAAAATATTCCTTTCGTGAAACCATATGACTCTATCAGATCATATTATGACCTAAATGCACTGTTAAGACTTTCTTAACAATAAAAAGCCTTAACAACAGACTCCAGTCTTTTACTCAACAGCTGTCAAATCAACTGACCTATACTTGCCCGTTTCCTCCCTCTTTGTGAGGCTTTTTAGGATGTGACAAATTTTAGGAGCAATGTCGTTGATAGACAAGATGTCAACACTATATAGCAGATACAACAACTTCAAAGTCTTTTCTTGTGGCAATAATAACCCTTTGAAGGATATGCGATTTCCATTCTTAGAATACCATGTATCATCTGCATTGCTATATAAGCAAAAACTAAATTAAATATGGGAAAACAGTACTCTCAAGTTCAAACTATGTGATTATCTGCATATTTTTGTGGAAATTGTACAAATTTAACCTCATCTTTTTCCCCCTTTTATAACATATGTCCAGGAAAATGGTAAATGTTGGCAAGGTGTGGTAAGATTACAGCGAAACAAGTATAATAATGAAGGAAATGTGAATTTAGTACTTCTAATGAATTCAAACTGTAAGAAGACAGCTGTGTGTATTTCTAAAATTTCTTCATTAAAGCTTTTAATGTGGTAATAACAGCTAAAATACCTTCACAAGTGCATCTTCCAAGCACACGGTTACTTCCTGAGCCAGTGCTATGGGACAACAGAGGCGAAGATCATTAAAGGCTGCCAAATTGTTATTTAGAAAACATGCCAGTGGAGGGAAGTCCAGAAGTACCATTGGAGGTTGCAGAGTGCCTGGCTGATTAGTTGGTAGAGGAACAGGGATTGTGCTGCCTAATATTGGTGGTGCAGAGGTTAACGTGTACAGATTCATGTCTTCCTGAAACTTCTCCACAGCATCCTGAATTGCTTTCTCAAAAGTATTCATAGCAACTTTTTGAAACATAGGAGCAAGCTGTCCTCGAAAATCTGCTCCCACACGACTGAAAGAAAGCCCAAAATACATACATTGGCCCAGCAACGAATCCAAGCGGCCACCCACACCTTTCTGGAGATCAGATTCCAGAGTCTGCAGAAATTCAGAAACCTTTTGCACCACCCAGCCATGGAAAATAGCACTTTCATTCACAGTGTGGTCACTGGAAAGCAATAAAGGATCTTCATCTGAGAAAATAGCACGATACTGAGTGATAATATCAAACAGATGGACGCGGCAAGCTTCAATTGTTTTAGTTATGTGAAAATAAGGATCACTGTCCATTATGGAGCCAAGCATAGATTTCAACCAGGCATCTCGAGCTTGAAGAAACTTTATTCTTAATTCCGCTTCAGTGAATACATCCATTCTTCTCAAGTACCCTATGACCCGTAAACACGCTGGAAGTTGGATATTGGTACGTAGCTGTTGGATAAGCTGGTTTAACATCAACTGAGCTGAAGAACGCACTTCATTCACTATTCCCTGCATGAGAAAAATGATAGCCAATACATTAAAAAGTTTCACAGATTTAAATTAGAAAGAACTATATGTTTATTTGCATTTCCCCATAACCAAAGATGAGAAGATAAACCAAAATGCACAAATTGAGTGGAGTAATGAATATATCTTTTAGATAGCACTTTTATTGCATTAAAAAGAACTTAAAATTACAGCTACTCACAACAACCCAGTTATTTCCATTATTACCACAAGGGCAATAAGGAGTGAGCAATAAATGATGGCCTTGTCATCAATATTCACATCAAAGCCACATTTGACCAAGAGAGACATCAAGGAAACCTAGCATAATTACAGTCAATGTAAATCAAAGGAAAACTCTCTGCTGGTTGGAGTTAACACAAAGGAATATGGTTATGTACATCTATCTATCTCAGCTCCAGGACATATCTGTGGAAGTTCCTCAGAGTAGTATCCTTGGCTCTAACACTGCAGCTACTTCATCAATGCCCTTTCCTCCTTCATAAGGACTCGCTTAAGACTTAGCACGTAAAGTTAAAGTGCATGGGATTGAGGGTAGTGTACGGACATGGATAGAGAACTAGCTGACAGACAAGAAACAAAACAGTAGAAATAACTGGGTCATTTTCTGAGTGGCATACAGTGACCAGTGGGATATCACAGGTATCAGTGCTTGGACCCCAGCTATTCAAAATAGCTATTAACGATTTAACGAGGGAATTAAATGTAATATCTCTACGTTTGCAGACGACACAAAGCTGGGTGGGAGGGTGAAATGTGAGGAGGATGACCGAGTTGAGCGAGTAGCTGTAATTTTCAGATACTGACACAATCCATGTCTACATATATCAAAACCTGGACAATATCCAGGCTTGGGTTGACAAGTGGCAACTAACATTTGCCACACAAGCGTGAGGCAATGACTATCTCCAAAGAGACAGAATCCAACCATTGTTCTTGACATTCGATGCCATTACGATCTCTGAATCCTATAATACTAACATCTTAGGGGGTTACCATTGACTAAAACTGAACTAATTATATAAATACAATGACAACACATCCTCAAAACCTTTACACCCTCTATTACTGACACACAACAGCAGCAGTACTAGTCACCTACAAAATACACTGCAGAAATTCACCAAGGTTCCTTAAACAGAACTTTCCAAACCCGTAACATGTGCAACTATGTCACTGTTCCTTCAAAATCCTAGAACTTCCTCCTCATCATCTCTATGCATATAAATGGTCTGCAGCAGTTCAAGAAACCAGCTCACCACAACCAACTGAGGATGGCAAGAAATACTAGACCACATCCTATTTTTAAATAACTATTTTTGGCATTTTGTGCTTTTGGTTCAGATTTCCAATATCTGCAGTACAATATTTTCTCTTGTGTGCCTACTTTTTGAGTCATAGAGTTATACAGCATGGAAACAGACCCTTTGGTCCAACTCCCCCATACTGACCAGATATCCTAAACTGATCTAGTCCCATTTGCCAGAATTTGGCCCATATCCCTCTAAACCCCTCCTATTCATCTACCCATCCAGACGCCACTTAAATGTTGTAATTGTGTCAGCCTCCACCACTTCCTCTGGAAGCTCATTCAGTACACACATCACCCTCTGTATGAAAATGTTGCCCCTTATGTCCCTTTTAAATCTTTCCCCTCTCATCTTAAACCTATGCCCTCCAGTTTTGCACTCCCCTACCCTGGGAAAAAGACCTTATGTTATAGTATGAAGAAATATACAACATTCAGAACACTTTGAAACCAATTCTAGCTTGTGGCTGATACTGAAGAAAGACATTCATAAAGGTAGACAAAGAGAGGCTGAAAGAACACAGCAGGCCAAGCAGCATGTGGAGGAAAGGAGCAGTCAACGTTTCGGGTATTGCCCTTCTTCAGGGTTGGATGTGGGGGTAGGGGGAACAACACTTCATCTTCTGCCTGGGCACCATACAGTCCAGAGGACAATACCCGAAATGCTGACAGCTCCTTTCCTCCAGATGCTGCCTGGCCTGTTGTGTTCTTCCAGCCTTCTGTTTGTCTATCTTGGATTCCAGCATCTGCAATTTTTTTGTCTCTAAAGACATTCACTAGGACTGTAACACCTGTATCACAGGAATAAAGCAATGTAATCTCCACAGTGGGAATCAGAAAATGCAACCAGAAAGTTCTGGAGAAACTCAGCAGGTCTGGCAGCAACTGTGGAGAGGGAAATAAAACGTTTTGACTCTCCTTCAGAAGTCCTGAAGGGGAGTCATATCAGAGTCAAAATATTAATTCTGATTTCTTCCCACAGATGCTACCAGACCTGCTGAGTTCCTCTAGCAATTTCTGTTCTGAATTCCAGTTCTGAAGAAGGCTTACTGGACCTGAAACGTTAACACTGCTTTCTCTACACAGATGCGGCCAGACCTGCTTATGTTTCTCCAGCAATGTCTGTTTTTGTTTGATTTTCTGCGGCCCTTTCTGTTTTTTATACCTGTATCACGGGTATGGACGAGTGTTTCTTCTCCAGCCTCTTCACGTAAGCGGTCAGCTCGAGAGCCTCCTCGTAGTAGCCGTTCCTGACACAGGTATCCATGAGCTGAGGGATCTCCAGGATCTCCAGGATCTCAGTGTGGCGGTTGAGGGTCAGGCTGTTCATCCTCCTGCTGGCGCCGGTCTCCTCCGTCTCTCGGATGAACTGCCTGCATTTCTCGCTCAGGCCGGGCAGCTTGTCCAGGAGGCTGGAGACATGCTTCTCCACCAGGCCGAAGTCGCGGTAGATCTCCTTGGTGCACTCGGCCGTTTTGATGAAGGTCTTATAGTTGGAGAAGGCCAGTTGCTGGGTCTGCTGCAGGATCTGGGCCCTCTCCTCCGCCAGCCTCTCGGGCTCCCGGTTCAGCTTGTCCACACCGTACGAGCTCAGCTCTGACAGGTACAGCGTGAAATCCGCATTCTCCCTCCAGTTCTCCGGGAAACAATCCCTGAAAATTGACGCCAGGATACTCTCATCCTCCACGTCGATGCCCAGCGCCGCCATCTTGGTGACTGGCTTCACTTCCGGTTCCGACAACAACAAACAGGCGCTTCGTCAGCTCAGGTCTGCTAAATGTCACCGCAGCAATGATGTGCATTGATATAACACGCAATTTTGGGAGCAGTAAAGTCGTACAGAATCACAGTCAATCAGCTCCTGGTGACCTGGGTTTATTGATATCGGATGGTTTTGGCCTTAGAGTGCTCTACTCTTCTTCACTTTAGCACAATGTAATCTTACAGTGCTCCTGGATACAGCTTTGATTTTAATGTCTCATCCAAAAACACAGCAGCATTCCCCTCAATTTAAAAAAAAGGTGAAGTCGCTGTAGTCTTACCAGACCACAGGATTGCCGTTTTCATTAGAGGGGGACGACTGATGGTGGTTTAACCGAAGGGTCACCACACTTAAACCAAGGGGAGACGTTAAGAATCATTCATGGCAACCTTAGTTAGTGCAGGAATTAAACCTATGTTGTTGTCATTACTCTGCATCACAAACAAGTTGTCCAAGTCAACTGAACTGCACCCCCTCAATACCACAATGCTGGCTGAAACTGTATGCCCAAAGCTGGATGGTGTGGGTTTTGAACACAACTTCCCAAATTAGAGGTGAGAATGTTACCCTTACAGGGAGCCAAGGCTGACATCAGAAAGCATTACAACACCCCGTATAAATCGTCAAACACAGTCATTTTGTTGTAGTTTAAATCTAGTTTGATTTCTGATATCATACAATAAAAAGATTGGCTATTCTGTGACTAAAAATGTGTTTACAGATAAACTGTCTAATCTTATTTACTTACACTGTTTAATGGAAAAATTCAGGAGTTGTTGATGTTCTGCAAAATCTGCATTTACTGAACAGGTCACTAGTAGCCCTTTCCAAATCTGCTAAAAGGACTGGCAAGCGAAAAAAAATCAAATAAAAATGTAATTAAACAGAACAATTGCAAATGACAAGAAGAAGTAAAGTTAAATAAATCTACGCAAACAGAAAAATATTTTCTCTCCTTCCCTAAAGTGTGTGTGTGTTTTGGATAATTTAGAGGGATAAATATTTATACTTACATATTATTGACTGTGTATTAAACAGATATTGCATGTTAATTTAACTTTTTTGTTTGGATAATAAACAAATAATTGCATTTATTAAAAAAAGTCTGGTTGCTGGATCTTTTTATTTAAAACCTAATATGGATAGGGTATTTATTTGGCCATGCTGGTAATTGGAAAGAGTATTTTTATGTTATGTGCCACAGTGGATTAGAGTGACAGTACACTGCTCCAGCTTGTTCTTAAGAGTTGTTTAAAAAAAAGACAAGGGTATCAATTCTGGGATGGTTATTGTTCACGATACATACAAACAATATAGAAGAAAATGTGGTGGAATGATAAGTAAGTTTGTGATGATACAAGATTGGTGGGATGGTTTCCAGTGAGAAAATCGATCTCAGGTTACTGGAGGACATTGACAGAATAGTCAGATGGGCAGATCAGTGGCAGATAAAATATACCACTGAAAAGTATGAGGTGATGAAAGTTTAGAAGAAGTAACAAGACAAGAGAGTGCTAATGACTGGCAATACACTGGAAAGCTCAGAGGAGCAAAGGGATCTTGGGATGCTTGTCTGCACATCCGTGAAGGTAGTTTATAATGTTAATAGAGTAGTTAAGAGACATTTGCCTTTATCAATCACAGCATAGCTTATCAGAACAGGGAGGTTATGTTAGACCTGTACAAAACTTTAGTCATCACACTGAAGGAAGGATTTGAATGCACTGGAGGGGGTACAGAGGAGATTCGTCAGGATGTTGCCTGGGATGGGGTATTTTAGCCATGAAGGGAGGCTAGATAAGCTCAGGTTGTTTTCTTTAGAGCAGAGAAGGCTGAGAATGGACCTGATAGAAATGTATAAGATTATGAGGGGCATGGACAGGGTGGATAGAATGCAGCTGTTTACCTTAGTCAAAGGGTCAATAACAAGGGGTTTTAATTTCAAGGTGAAAGGCAGGAGGCTTAAAGGGAATTTGAAGAAAAAACGTTTCACCTGGAAGGTGGTGGGAATCTGGAATATGTTACCTGGGAAGGTCATTGAGGTGGGTAACCTCCCAAACTTTCAAATGTACTTGGATGAACACTTCAAGTGTCATAGCATTCAAGGCTATGAACCAAGTGCTGTGAAACTGGTGTAGATTTAGAGTAAACAAGGTGTAGAGCTGGATGAACACAGCAGGCCAAGCAGCATCATAGGAGCAGGAAGGC